TTCTCCATCTTGAGTCACATGCTTCTTCCTGTCATTCTTAAAAAATAACAAGTATAAGCTCTGTGAATGCAGAGCTGGGACAGAAAGAACAAGACAATATGAGCCTTTGTGATCATGAATCAACTCATAAACAATTACCTTCCAACAGTGACAGCACAATACTGTCACTAGCATAATATTTCACCTTTGGCTGTGGTAAATAAATAATAGCTAAATGAAGATAAGGCAATAAGAAGCTAGAGAAATTCTACTTGGCAAGTAGAATGGGGAAACTGAGACAGCTGAACAAACTGGCCGAGCAATTTCTAGCAGATACAGAAGGTCACTTCCCTAAGGATAACATTTAGGCCTCAATTGTATTTCAGCTCCAGGCCCAGAAAAGCAGCAAAACCAGGTGGACAACATGCCGTGACAAGCTGCAATGAGTCCTGACCACTCAGGAGAGGCACACCTGAAAGAGCACACCTGGAAACTGATAAGTATTCTACCAAAACCCTCCCCTGAGACCTCCCCTAAGAGTCCCTTCTTAGAGGAATAAAGCCCTCCAGTCAAAGGACTCTGTGCTCTCCCTCTGGGGAGCCATGTTCCTGCCATTCCCTTCCCCATTTTCCCCCCGCTCCTTCTTCCTCCATAAACATCCATCTCAGGGGAGCAGTGGGCAGTGGGCAGCAGGCAGCGGGCAGTGGGCAGCAGGCAGCACCTCTTGGGCTGACCCCCTGACCTGTCCCCAAGGCCCCCTTTTCTCTGACTTCTTAGTGAGCCAAAGCAGTCCAGCCTAGGCTCATTTCCCCACCTAGTCTCTCTCCTGTTGCTTCTTCCTCTCTAGGCCCATCCTTGTCTCACGGCCACAGCTTTAATAAATGTCGTTTCAAAATCATCTGGAATTGTGATATGAAATCTTTCCTGCATGAAATCAAGAACCCACACACTACTGCCAGGCCCTAGGCAGATCCACTCAGGGCCAGTCTCCTGTCTGGCAAAAAGGAATTTAAATAAACCTATGGGAGAAATAGCATGTGCCTCATGACCACTGAAAAGTGAGCTGCACCCTATCAGAGAGTTTCTGATTCAGTAGGTCTGGGATGGAGCCTGAGAATTTCTTTTGTCACAAAGTCCCAGGTAATGCTGCTGCTGCTGGTCTGGTGGCCTCACTTTGAGAACCAATTGCATATATATATATATATATATATATATATATATATATATATATAGAGAGAGAGAGAGAGAGAGAGAGAGAGAGAGAGAGAGAGAGAGAGCTGTCATCCCAGAGGATCTGCCTTGCAGGTCTTATGCCTCAAGTCTTTAGAATGTCAAAACAGCACAGTGCCTTTGGAGTGAACCCAAAGCAACATTGTGCCTCAAAGACCATTTACAAAGATAACAAGACAGCAGTTATTTTGACTACTGGAGTGGAAGTTAAAACATAGTTTGGAATTGGCATTGCTGTGTTAGTTCATTTGCACCAACAGAGATGTCTTCTTTCTATTGATGTCATTGTTCCCCTTCCCTTTCTCAAATACCGACATTGCCTTTGTCTCTTACTCAGAACAGTATTTGGGCTTCTATCTGAATCAGTGCTTCCCCTTAGCTGTTTGATCTCAAATAAATGCTTGTTGTCTCTCACTTTGAAAGGCCTTTTATTTGGGAGTTAGCATGGCCTAGAACAAGAGTGCCAGGATTCTAGGCTTCATGAGCTCAATAACAGAAATACCACCTTGTAGAGAAAAGTTTAATCAAAAGAAACTATCACAAGCTTTCTGTTTCTTTCCTTTATTATTTTTTAAAAATATATCTTTGCTAAAGGCCCCATGCATGAATTCAAGGCCTGGCCGGCAATCAAGGCCTATCAGGGCTGGGCCAATTGAGGCCTGCCTGCCTGGGGGAGGGAAAGAGTGCAGAAGGTTGGCTACTGGTCCCAAGGAGGGAGCCAACCCTCAGACCCCCTAGGAAAGGGGCCATGTCCACCACCACCCTCCCCAGTTTCCCATCCCAGCCCAGGGCCCAAAGGAATCTGGAGAGATGATAGTCACTAGGCCAAACACAGAAGGAACAGAAACTGGATGCCAAAGCCATGAACCCACAGTGGGAGGTTGGCTGTGGGAGTACACTAACCTCCAGGGGGCAGCTCCTGAGTTGAGCATTGCCCCCTAGTGGTCAGTGCATGTCATAGCAACTGGTTGACTGGTCGGTCACAACAGTCACTTAGGCTTATATATAGAGAGGTCGATTTCAGAGAGGAAAGGAGAGAAAGAATGAGATAGAAATATCAATGATGAGAGAATTATCGATGGGCTGCCTCCTGCACACACCCCACTGGGGACCAAGAATTGAACCTGGTTTGTAGGTTGACACTCAACCACGAACCACACCAGCCAGGCACAAGCTTTCTCTTTCTATCCCCTGGCTTATCTGATAGCAGGACAACTATGAAGCATGCTTCCAACCCTTCAAGAGCCAGTTTTCTTTCCTTCAGTCAATGCTGCACTTTTCTACTTAATGCAACTTTTCTACTTGTAGCCCCATGCCTTTAGGTAACATCAGCTGCAGTCCTGTGTGTATCAATGAAGCCACTGCATGATGAGGTTTCTCCTCTTGAAGAAAGCCTGAGGAGGGCAGGTCCAAGCACTCCTGTGGAGAGCTGCTGGGTTTCTTCCGCCACACTACCGTCTTCCAGTCAGGCTGGGGGAATTGCTAAGACTCAAAAATTAATACAGACAGGTGAATGGATACCCAAAATGTGATAGGCACGTACAATGGAATCATATTCAGCCTTAAAAAAGAAGGAAATTCTGATGCACACTACAACATGGATGGGCCTTGAAGGTATTATGCTAAGTGAAAGAAGCCAGACACAAAAGGACTAATACTTTTTGATTCCAGCTATATAAGGTACCTGGAGTAGGGAAATTCATAGAGACAGAAAGTAGAAGGGTGACAGCCAGGGGCCAGGGAAGGGGGAGTGGAGACTTAGTGGTTAATGAGTAGTGTTCAATAGAGTTTATTTGAAAAGATGAGAAAGTTCTGGAAATGAGTGGAGGTGATGGTTGCCCAACAATATGAATGTACTTAATGGCACTTACTGAACACTTATAGTTAAGATGGTAAATTTTATGTTATGTATATTTTACCACAATTTTCCTAAGGCAATAGAAACTCACCTTTATTTCCATTTTTAATGTTCCTTCTAGTTTTTGTAGATCACAAATCTCTCAAGTCAAACAAAACAAAACAACAACAAAAACAAAAATTATCTGGAGATAGGTGCTATACCACTGTTATTTTTATTTTTCTTATGTTTAAAATATATTTTTATTGATTTTATTGAGAAAGAGGAGAGAGAGAGAGAGAGAGAGAGAGAGAAAGAGAGAGAGAGAGAGAGAGAGAGAGAGAGAGAGAGAGAGAGATTGCTTAGCAACCTGGGCATGTGTCCTGATAGGGAATTGAACCAGGGACCTTTTGGTTCCTGAGACAATGCTCAACTAACTGAGACACATGGGCCAGGGCTGTTTTTGTTATTTTAAAGACTGTGTTACTGGAAAGGGGACTGGGCCCAGAGTGGTGTGCAGGTTCTTGACTTTGTGTAGGAAAGATTTCATAACATTAAGTCCAGGTGATTTTGAAAGTACAGTCATTAAGGATGGAACAAGGAGGGGCTTAGGATAGAAGAAGCAACCAGAGAGGGACTAGGTGGGAAAATGAATCTAGGTGGGGCTGCTTTTTTGTTGTTCATTTTTTTCAAAATGTATTGATTGATTTTCAGAGAGAGGGGAAGGGGAGGTGGAGAGAGAAACCTCAATTTGTCATTCCTCTTCAGCTGGGCTGCTTTGGCTCTAGAAACATTATGGGGAAGAAGTGAGCTAAGGCAGGGCTGCTGTCAGAGGAAAGGGGCCTTGGGGACAGGTTCAGGGGGTTACCCCCAAAGACCTGCCGCTGCCCATTGCTCCCCTGATTGCAAGTCTACTGGGTCCTTTAGAGTTTAGGTGATGGACACCTGTGGGGGAAGAAGGAGGAGGGGAAGGCGTGCCTATCTTTGGGGGATGGAGAGAGCAGGCGCGGGGCCCTCCATCTGAAAGGTGTTAGAGACTGTGAGTTTAAGGAAGTCTTAGGTGAGGACCTCAGTAGAAGATTCCCCTGCTTTTGCAGGCCTGCCCTTTCAGGGTTGTGGTCTCCCTGGTTGTCCAGCACCAGGACAGGGGTCTAAATCACATGGCCAGCCTATGCCATGGAGGAAAGGCCATCCTGGAGGAAGGTCCCACACCAGTTTTGCCTGTTTGTTAGGCACTGGGGCTTTCTGCCCTGGGGACCTTCTGTATCTGCTTCAAATTGCTCAACCAGTTTCTGCAGCTACCTGCCTCAGTTTCCCCATCCCACGTGCCACGGAATTTTCCTAGCTTCTCACTCACCCCCCTCGAATGGTAGGCAGAATCCTCCCTCCAGAAATGCTTTCCCGGGCTCACACTCCAGGTACAGCCACTGGTGCGCGCACGTGAAACTGATCCCTGTCCCGCCCACTTTTGCTTTCGCACCCAGCCGGGGGTATTTTCTCAGCGCAGAGGTTTCCAAAGTGGTGGCCCTGGCACCAGCAGCAGCATCACCTTAAGAACTTCTCAGAAATGCAAATTCTCTGGCCCCACCCCCAACCAGCCACTCAGCAACTCGGGAAGAGGCGGGGAACCTGCGTTTTAAAAAGCCCTCCAGGTGACTCAGAGGAGCGCTCACCTTGGAGCGTCCCAGGTCTCCCGCTGCCACCCGCGGCCTGCCCCTCTAGCGGACAGCAGCGGACAGGTGTCTCTCCGCTGCGGCGCAAGGGGCACTAACCTCTGCTCCCTGCTATCGGACCGCCCGGCCCCAAGGGTGGAGTCCCGGCCCCGTCTGCACACCTCCAGCTACGCAGGTGGCAGGGCAGGGCCTGGAACCCACGTACGTCATAGAGAGAGCCAGAAGCGAGCGAAGGCAGGGCTGCTGTCAGAGTGAAGGAGGAAGCCCTCGGAGCCGCCACCATGGGTAGGCGAGGGTGACTGACCGGGCTGGGGCGGGGTAGTCGGGGAGCATTGGGCTGCGCGGCGATCGGGGCACTGCCAAGGGGGTGTCAGGGGTCCAGCCGGGCTGCGACGCTGGTCCCCGCAGTGGGCGGCGGCGGCGCGGACCTGCGCGCAGAGCCGGGAGGGCGGGCGGGTGGGCACCGGGCGCGGGGCAGGGACGCGGCGCGCGGGCTGCAAGCGACCCCCGGGGAGTCGGTGGCTCCGGGAAGCTACGGGGCTGACGAGGCATCGCCCTGCCAGGTGGTCTCCTGGCTGCAGAGGGATGAGTGCAGTCACTTTGCCGGCCCGCACCTGCTGGGAATCTCAGAGCTTGGGTTTCCGCTTGGGCTTGGCTGGGTCTTGCGCTTGGTGGGGCGCGCGGCAACTTCATCCGCTGTGGGATCTTAGCGGCTGCCTTCGCATTTCTCTGATCCCCAACCCCCTGCCCCCGGGCCGGGAGTGCTGCCTGGCCGGAGAGGAGCTGGGGCTAGCCCCTGGTGGCCCCTCTGAGCGCCCTGCCACCATCCTTAAACTCAGAGCCTACGGAGAAACAAGCCTCCCTCCTTGGTACCTTCTTGGCACAACAGCTAGGAAACAAGTTACCGCTGCCTGCTTCAGAACAAAGCGCTCTGGAGTGACTTCAGGAGCAAGAGAGCAGGTTCTGGGAGAGACCAGAGATCAGCCAGCCCCCTTCTCCCTCCCACACGGGGGAGCGAGTGGAGGGATGGCCCTAAGGAGTGCTGTGCGTGGGCCCAGGCAGGCTTTGTGTGAGGCTTTGGGAGTTCGACTTTCCCATCTGCCTGCGCTACTGCTCTTCTTCTACCGCTGGCTACCTGTGACTTTGCATCAGTAACTTAGGCTCTTTGGGCCGAAATTCTCAGCCATCTAACAGAAGTATCAGTGCCAGTGCCGACTAGGTAGGTGGCTGCGTTGAGATGTGCAGGATAAGGGGACCAGACGTCCCGCTTTTGGCGGGACAATTTGTCCCGCGTCCCGCAGCGTTTTAAAAAAAGTCCCGATTTTTGCTCTATCAGTGGATAGAGCGTCGGTCTTCGGACTGAACGGTTCTGGGTTCGATTCCGATCAAGGGCATATAGCTCGGATGCGGGCTCATCCCTGGTAGGGGGTGTGCAAGAGGCAGCTGGTGCATGTTTCTCTCTCATCGACGTTTCTAGCTCTCTATCTCTCTCCCTTCCTCTCTGTAAAAAATCAATAAAATATATATTTAAAATAAATAAATAAAAATTAAAAGTCCCGATTTTTGAAAAAGCCAGATATTGGAAATTTAGGACCTGAGTAAAATGGTGTCTGCATGTAAACATTTAGTCCCTCGGCGTTTAAAAAAAAGTCCCGATTTAAAAAAAAACAAAAACAAAAAACAAACAAACAAACAAAACAAAAAAACAAACGCTGAGGGATGTGGGTTAAATTGTTCAAAAGCGGGACGTCTGGTCACCTTAGTGTGGGAGCGCAGCACCGCAACTCAACCATCATTCGACTGTCAGTCCGGTGAACTTTCTGGGAGGCGCTCTGAGCGTTTGTTCCCATCTGTGTCTGGCTCATACCTGCCAAGCAGCTGCTCTGCATGGCATAGTCCCTAAGAGTTCCAATCAGGACAGCTGATTGTTGGGGGGATAAACACAGCTTTAAAGCATAGCCCAGGGAATTGGCTCTTTTCAGTTTGCAAAATGGTCCTTAAGTGGGTGTTTTTTGTGTGTGTGGGGGGGGGGGGGGGGAGTTGTTTGTTTGTTTGATTGTTTTTGCAACTGAGTTTGGCATAGTGTGTGCGTAGCTACAAAATGTTTACATGCAGACACCAGCTTGCTCAAGTCCTAAATTTTCAATATCTGGGTTTAGTGAAGGAAACTAATCATTAGAAAATGTTATCAGTAAAGAACGAGCAGTCACTTCCCTTCTTAAGATCAGACCTTGGGTGCTAAGATTACGAGAAGTGGTTTCTGGCGACTGAAAGGGGAAAGCCGGAAGAGTTGGTGAGTGTAGCCTGAGGGAGAAAAGCGGAACCGGTGCAGAGAAAAACGTTTGCTTTGAGCTGACTTGTTCTTATTTGTTCATTGGAACCAATTTTGGCGCCAGGTTCTTTCACTCGCCCTGGACATGGAGAGGCAGGAGTTATGACAGAATAGGAAAGTGAGGGTGGAAGAGTCAGAACTGAACCATTGAGGCATTAGCCTTGGTAACACGAGCACAGGGATACACAAGAATAAGCGGGATGGAAAGTTGCTTTGGGGGTGAAGATACATAGCTAAGCTGGCTGCAGGATCTGGTTAGAATCTTAAACTGCCAGCCAACCCTTTGTCGGCAAACCTTTCTTGGAAAGGGCCAGAGAGTCAATATTTTTGGCTTTAGGTAAGGTGACCAGATGTCCCGCTTTTGGCGGGATAATCCCAATTTTCTAACAATGTGTCCCGATCGGGATGCAGGACACATTGTTAAAAATCGGGACTGTCCCACCAAAAGCGGGACGTCTGGTCACCTTAGCTTTGGGGACTTTACAGTTGCCATGGAAACAACTCAACTTCACCCTAACAGTTCAAAATATGTAAATAAGTAGGAGGAGTTGCGTTCTAATAAAACTTTATGGACACGGAAATTTGAATTTTATGTAATTTTCATGTGTCACAATATAGCCCTTAAAAACTGTTTCTTCATTATTTAAAAGTGCAGAAACCATTCTTAGCTTGCAAGCTGTACAAAACCAGGTGGTGAGCCAGATTTGGCCTGTAAGCCATAGTGTACTGACCCTTGCTTTAAAGTATGGATGTGCAGTCCTAGCTGGTTTGGCTCAGTGGATAGAGCCTCGGCCTGCAGACTGCAGGGTCTTGGGTTCGATTCTAGTCAAGGGCACACGCCCAGGTTGCAGGCTTAATCCCCAGTAGGGGGCGTGCAGGAGGTAGCTGATCAATGATTCTCATCATTGATGTTTCTCTCTTTCTCTCTCTCTTCCTTCCTCTCTGAAATCAATAAAAACATATTTTAGCCAAAACCGGTTTGGCTCAGTGGATAGAGCCTCCGCCTGAGGACTGAAGGGTCCACGGTTTGATTCTGGTCAAGGGCATGTACCTTGGTTTCCGGCACATCCCCAGTAGGGGGTGTGCAAGAGGCAGCTGGTCGATGTTTCTCTCTCATCGACGTTTCTAGCTCTCTATCTCTCTCCCTTCCTCTCTGTAAAAAATCAATAAAATATATATATTTTAAATATATATTAAAAAAAAAAAAAAAGTATGGGTGTGCTGATCGGAGCTGAGGGTGGAGAGAGGGTCTGTTTCCCAATGAGTGTCTTGTGCAGTCAGGTCTCAGGATGGCTGAGAACCTTTCAGGTGACTGAAGCCACCACGGAGACCTTTGTGGCACTGAGATGCTTTGATTGAAGATTTTGAATATTTAATCTCTCCTCTCACCCCACCCCACTCCCTTACCCAGAGTTCAAGTTTTGCCATAGCAAATTACTTTGGTCTAAAAAACCATGGATCCTGCTCTCGTTTGCCACACATTTGACTTTGAAAATTAAATATGAGGAGGACTCAAGTTCTATGAAGCAAGCTCCTGTCTCCATTTCCCAGGGCCTTCAGGCTGATTTGAGAAATTCACTCACTTAATGAAGGGCACTTATTATGTTCCTGCTCCTCGAACCCTCTTCTTCCCCTATCCCCTCTCTCCTCCCCCCCAACTCTAAGCCTCCTGCTGGCCTTGTATTGGATTCTGGTGAGTTTTGCAAGAGGGCCTTCTGCCTGAGCATAAAACAATGGACTAACCTGAAAGGTGCTGTGAACCTGGCCATTTGTAAATCCTTCTGTATTCTCCCCTTTCAGAGGCTCTTGGGTAAACTAAAAAACAATGCTGAGGTCACGGGCAGCTGGCACTCCTATTACAGGTGGCACGTGTACAGCTAGAGCTTGCTCCACACCAACGGTGGCCTTGGGCATCGATCCCTGGGAGAACCTGCCTCCCAGACAGCACAAAGGGAGGACTGACATTGTTTCTTCCATGCTGGTCTGACTCTGTCAGTGGTTTTCTAACTGCAGCATGCATCAGGATCCCGAGTGAGGGCTTATTCTGACAGGCTGCCCGGCCTTATCCCTAGACTGTCTGCGTCAGAAGGTCTAGGGCAGGGCTTCAGGGACAGTGTTTGCACACGTTCCCAGGAGCTGCTGCTTTGAGAATCACTGCTGTAAATGACAGGCTCTCCCCACATCCAAACCACTGTGCCCACAAATGAAATCATGGCCCCTGGCTTGCCCAGGATGGTCAAGTTTGGGGTAAATTAGCAGCTAGAATGTGAAAATCAGCTTGCAGAGGCTAAGAACATAGGGCAGAAAAGCATAGAAGTGGTAAATCATGTGGCCCAGCAAAGGCTACAGGGTCAGGCCTATATTCCTTAAATATGTGTACAGGTATTTAATTATCATGTGAAGGTATAAAATAGTCCTGCCTTGAAGAAGCACATATCCTCAGGGGTAGAAACCTCCTCACCCATACACATTTTACACATTTTTCTTTCATTATTTTTCTTTTTAAATATATTTTATTGATCTGCCTCCTGTAAACCCCCTCCTGAGAATGTGCCCACAACCTCGGTACATGCCCTTGACCGGAATTGAACCTGGACCCTTCAGTCCACAGGCTGACGCTCTATCCACTGAGCCAAACTGGTTAGGGCCCATACACTTTTTTCTACACTGTATTATAGTTGAGGTGCATGACATATCATAAGACCAGTGAAAGCAGCAGCTAATAGTGGCTTGTCAGAGTTGGAGGACTTGCCAACATTAATGCTAAATTTTTCCATAGTCCTTCATACCTCTGCACAATATCCTGAGTGAAATTACCTCATTTTTCCTTTACGTGGATTTTTTGATGAATGATTGTCTTGCTGCCCTTGGAGTTTCTGAAGAGCAGAGAACAGATGGAGGGGTTAGTCAATGGGCTAGCTGAGCTAGCAGCATCACGAATGAGAGGGACGGT